GGGCAGGGAGAAAAGTGCGGCAATGAATGAATGGAAATCCAAAACCTCTGTAAATGTCTATTAAAATTAATTAAAGACAAAGAAAAAAATATTTCAAGTGAGTAGGAAAGAGAAGAATTAATAAATAATAGTAAAATAAAAAAAACAGATGCTAGGTAAAGATAGACAAATACTATATATTTATAAAACTATGTTTAAGAGTAACTGCAATTTTAATGAATGAAAATGACAGAACAATTAATTATACTTTTTTAAAAGAGGATAAAAACCCTTAAACTCACTGCCATCAAATCACGACTTATTACTGACCCTCCAGCGGGTTTCTGAGGCTGTGAATCATACAGGGGATTGCTCACCTTTCTCCAGAGGAGTCAGGCCACCAGGTGACCTTTGAGTAAGCAGCATATCACCCTACAAAGCATGCCACAAGAGCACTCCTAAAGGTATAAACTGTATTATAAAACTCACATACTGTTTGCACATTGTAAAAATGGAAATATTTAGGCAAAATAGTGTAAATAGTTCCATATGCACATTATTAGCAAAATACTGTGGCAAGTAAGGAATGTACCAAATACTAAAATGGCATATTTAAAAAATAAATAAATAAATAAAATAAAAATGGCATATTTAAATAGCTTGGTTCATATTGTAGTATCAGTTAACTGCATATATATACACACACACACACACACACACACACACACATATTTATTCACCCTGGATGTATAGAAGCCTTCGGGTAGAACCAATTCAGTCAGAATTTTTGCAATTAAGCAAGTTACTTCAATTATCTATAATCTTTATAAACCAGTGATAGTAATAATATGACTCCCATATTATTTTAAGGGTAAGACACTATCTAAAATAATCAGCAAAATTCCTAGTAAACAGCTAGGAGCTGCTATACATATAATATCCTGATCATAGTTTTACTTAGCTGGGAAGAGAAAGGTAGCAGTTTGAACCCATTAGTTGCTTGGCAGGAAAAAAAATGTGACAGTCAGCTTCCATAAAGATGCCAGCCTTGGAAACTCTATGGCACAGTTCTACTCTGTCCGAGGAGTTGGAATGGATTCAATGGCAATGGGTACCAACCAAGACACATGCGTGGATGGGGTTTATTGTTTTTATTAGCTGCTGGTGAGTATGCCACTGCACCATGTTTATATTTTTTCCATTTTTTACAGGTACAGAACTCACCAAAAACATTCACATCCATAGTAACTATACAGACATTATTCTATGTCATAATATCTATTAAATGTGAGGTCTGATGTCATTTCATTAAACTGTCATGATGTGTTTCCCTTTAAAAATGTCAAAAATGCAGATATACAGCGGCTGTGCATTAGTTTATAGGTCCAGTTGTAAAATGAGCAAGGGTTGTGTGGGAATGTTGCTATCAACAACATAAAACCAATTCCCATGAGGTCAGACATGTCCCCCAAGTTCCCATACATCTTCTACTCATTGCATCATCAATCATATTGCTTTATTGGGTCCAAAATCCAATGCAATTAACTCAGACCATAGAGAACCATATTGGGGGAGTCAAAAGGCTGTAACTCAGGTTAGTGGTAAAAGCACAGGACAGCTTCTGAAAAACGTGTTTGCGAGCGCCTCAGTCTTGATTTTAGGCCAGTGTTACAAAGCTCTTCGCCCTGCCAATTTGGCTCCCGATCCCCTCATCCCTAGTCCTCCAATGAACTTGGGAAAAGGCTCTTAGCTCTGGTTCCCCAGGGGCTAGCAGTGTCAAGGTCAGCTCTGTCTCACACCAGTCTCTGGCCCTCTGCTCTGGCCACTGCTGCTGTTAAGTCAAGCTGGAGCAAGAATCCCTGGTTCTGAAGGGTGCCCATTGCATGCTTGCTTCTCCTTTCTGGTGATGAGACTCCAATTCAGCCCCTGGGTCTGCTCAAAATTTATCCCCTTTTGGATAATATACCGTACTGGCATATTCCTGCCCATCCACATGGCAAAGTCTTAACACCACACCAGTGTTCCAATAAACTAACACATATATGAACACCAAGAAAATGAACTCATACGCAATCTGCATCTTTGTCTCAAGTGTAAAAAAGACACATAAGCATTAATCATTCAAAATGGTACTTTCTCCTTTGATTAATTAGAACGTAGTAGTACAGAATGAGCTCTGGTGGCCTAGTGCTAAGCGGTTACATTGCCACGCCAAATCCATCAGCTGATCTGTGGGGAAAACATGGGCAATTTCCCATGCAATTTACTGCCTTAAAAAAAAACCGGCTGGAGGGTCAACTCTGGCTTAGCTCTGATTTGATGGTATATTAACAACAGTGTAGAATACGTGTCAAAGAATCTGCTAATCATTTACCAACAACCCATTTCCCACTGTGAGAAACAGTGTCAGGCCTAGTGCTAAGCGGTTACATTGCCAAGCCAATTCCATCAGCTGATCTATGGGGAACATGGGCAATTTCCCATGCAATTTACTGCCTTAAAAAAAAATCGGCTGGAGGGTCAACTCTGGCTTAGCTCTGATTTGATGGTATATTAACAACAGTGTAGAATACGTGTCAAAGAATCTGCTAATCATTTACCAACAACCCATTTCCCACTGTGAGAAACAGTGTCACCAATAAAGCACATGCAGTCTGTACCTGTGGACCCTGTTAGAGCATGGGCACTGGACACAGGCACAGCCACAGCTGTCCTTCCAGGCCACCCCTTTTGGCTATGGCCTCATTCATCCTGGCAACCATTCATCCTGAACAGAGAGAGGATGTAACCTGACCACTCAAATAGTACAGAGAGCAGAACTGTCCAATAAAATAAAACCTTCTCAATGCTCACATGTGGTCACTAAGCACACGACAGGCAGCCAGCATGGAGGAACTGAATTTTAAATCTGATTTCATCTTAATGAATTTGAACAAGCATGTGGGGCTAGTAGCTACAGTTACAGAACCACCGTTATAGAAAGCACACTCAAAAGAACCACTGTAATGGCTGGTTGGGTTCCAGGATATGAAGAATAGTCTGCCTATCTTCCAGGGACCACTAACATGTCAATATCTATCTTATGGAGCTGTTCCACTTTGTGATTTGTTTTTCATTAGATCCAACTAATATGCTATTGGGACAAAATGTCAAACTGCTAATATCTCTCCAGGACAATGGAGGGAGAGAGGGACAAGAAAATTTTTACTTCAACTCTTTATCTGTTTAGTCTGATTTTTTTTAAAAAAATTAAGAATTTTTTATGCTTTATCCAAAATCCAAAGTCTCTATACAATTCCATTAAAATTTCAATTAAAAAA